GAGTGTTGGATGCTTTGACCATCTCAAAGAGACAAGAGTACTCTTTGTCCAGAGCCTTTACTGATTTTTTTTTTTAAATTAACAGTCTCAGTACAGCAGATCTGGTGAATTTGCTGGAGAAGCTTTGAGTTCATCCTCGTTTTGTTTCCTTCCAAGAGACTTTTCCTGTTCTGGTCTGCATGTTGTGGAAAGCAGCAAAGTGAAACTGACACTAATTAGCTGTTCCTGCTAAACATTCCCTACTTCTTGAAGGTTTCTGATATGGAGCCCTTGAATGATTTTTGAGAGCATCCTGCAGGGATGAATTTGCATTTGTCCATTCGAACATGCTGGGCACAGACATGCTGCTTTAGGTTGTGCAGGACATTGATTTATTATTGACACTTCTGTTCTACCTTATCAACTTGAAAGTCATCAACATGGGGCATCCAAAAGATGGACTTCTGCTGTTTCACCCATTCTTCCTGTTAAGGTAGCCTTGCATCAGTTTTATTTTCTCACCTCTGTAACAGTTTTGGGGCAAGGGGAAATAAATCTAAGCTAACCAATGTGCCTAGATTCTACTGAATTTGTTTTTCTTATTCACAGCAAGAAAGCCCAGAAATCATTGCAGTGGTCAGAGCCTCTGCCCTTCTTTAAATGTCTTGGAGGGCATAATCCTGTGTCCTCTGTCCTCAGTACACATCAGCTTCTGAACTCCGGGTCCTTCATCTAGATATCCATTTCCCGCTGTGTAGATGAAGCACCATGGAAGGAAAGGTGTTGTGGTTTCATTTGGATATGGCCTAAGCTTTCAGCTGCAGCCTCCTTTCTCCTCTAACCCCATGATGCACCTATTTAGCTCTCTCCAAAGTTGCTTTCCAACCTCAGAGAGGCAGCCAGTATGGTTCTTTCTGCACTGGCTGCAAGGATGTCAGGGCAGGGGTTCTGAGTCAGAGTCTCAGTTCCAAGCTCATAGAAGTGTGGAACTGAGTGTCCAACTAATCCTATGTCCTCCCAGGAAATGTCAGATGAACATCTGTTTGTGCCTTAGCACAATGACAAGCAAGATATAGGTGAATGTGGCTATGAGTTCTTGCTTGTTCTTGCCTTTTAAGAGCTGCTCGTTAATAGCAATGAGGAAAGAACAGTTACTTATTGTAGCTCCATTAGACTAGCAGCGTTTGTTTGTTTGGAGTTAAGGTATTGCTGGAGAGGAGCTGGTAGTGAGAGATGAATGCTAGAAGGTTTACAGGCTGAATCTGTGCACATTTACTTGGAGTCCCACTGGGGCCAGTGGGAGTGTCCTGAGGAACTTGCATAGGATTCTACCCTGCAGAGAGAACTTCATAAACTGGGAGAGTTGTTGCAAGCAATCTTTGTACAACACTTTTGTGTACAGTATGGGGAGGAGGAGGGGAGGTTTGGGGTTCTGTGATAAATTCTAAGTAAAATCCAAATATAAACATCAGCAAGCAATAAGATGAGAAGCAAAAATAATTGTCTGGCACAGATCACAAAAGATTCAAAACTTTCTCAGATAGCAAGGGTTTGGACCTTGTTGGACACTTGCAGGCATCTATGTGGAGGGATTTCTTCTGAGAGATCCTACTCCTTGGTGTTACACATTACAAGCATATCTCTCAGAGAAGGGATCCAGACCAGGGAAACACTGGCAGGTACAGATGAAGTGTTCAATACCAGGCCAGGCCCAGGCCATTCAGGGCTTTGAAAGTTAAATATAGTACTTGGAATTGAGCCTAGAAGCTAACTTTGTATCAGTACAGTTTGTGCAAAAATTGAGTTAACATTGGAACAACATTGTATGGATGAGGATACAAGAAAACCAGAGTTAAGGGGGTAAAAATTAAACACTGTACAAAATTCTTTGATACAAAATCTGAAATAACTTATATGATAAGACTGACTAAAGACCTATTCAGTGAAAATGTTGAAAATGGTTACAGAATTGGGCAATGAATTTTGATGCACTCACTTCATCAGTGGCCTGAAACAAATCACTCAGCTTTGGTCTCTGCCATATAAACCTTTAGATGGAGGATGACTAAACAGTTTCCTTCTGTGACTGGATACTCACCAGGGGTTTTGAAATTTCAGGAGAGCTGAGAAGAAAGACATTTTAGTATAGTTTTATGCAAAAGATTTTTGCAAAAACTCCCTTGACAACCACATGGAAAAATAATGTTGTTTGCTTAGAAAGTTGGGTCATAGAATGTTGACAGATTTTTACTTTATTTGTTATAAAATAGGCTATTATGTTGGTGGTGTTTGATTTTGTATTATGGAATCCTGCAAGGTGTTTATATTTTTCTCCACTTAACTATGGATTTTGATGACTGTAATAGTTATATGATTGATTTATTGGAATTGGTGCAGATGGTGCCCCATACTTGGCTGCCCGGAGATACTCTTCACCACCACCAAAACCTGGACAACCATGTTCTAGGCAGAGTCCAGGAGTACATGCAGACTGCAAGCCTGAATCCTGGAGTGTAACCATCCCCAATGCAGGCTGAATCCCTCTTCCCTGATCTGTCATTATAGTAACCAGGAGTACTTCTGTCTTGTATAGATTGAGCTTCAGTTTCTTTATCCTCATGCAGTCCATTAGTGACATCAGTCAACAGTCTAGAACAGCTTCCTTGGCTTCAAATGGAAGAGAGAAATAAGAGCTGGATGTCATCAGCATACTGGTGGCACCAAATCCCCAAACTCTAGACCTTCTCTCCTAGTGGTTTCATAGATATGTTAAGTCCAAGAGAAATCCCTCAGCACTACATTCTGAGGCTGCACTTCCAAGAAGGACCAGAGCCACTGTATGACAGTGCCTTCCATTTTGGACAGATGCCCCAGAAAGATGCTATAGTTGATGATATCAAAAGCCATTAAGAGTTCCAGAAAAAACATCAGGGACACACTTCTCTTGTGCAATTCCTGGCATAGATTGTCCAGCAAGAATTCCAAAATACATTCTGTCCTATAGAGTGGTCTGCCTCCTCTTGCTACCTATTGGTAACAGACCCTGGATTACCTAACCAAGTACCAGTTGGTGAGTCTGCAGATGCATTAATGGCAGAGAAGTGCAATGCTTTTGCTGGCCTCATTGCCAGGAAGTAGGCTTTTAAATGAGCTGTAGGCCGTGTTCTGTCATATGGACCATAGTTGTGTGTTTTCTACCAATGTCCATGTGGTCAGTGTCCCACTTGCTTCATTGCTTGCTGTGCCCTGGAAGACCAAGGAGCTCATTTGGCTCTGCTCTGTGGTAGAGGACACTCAGAAGCAATCTAACTACCTGGGCCATTTCTCCTTTCCAGAGGACAACCAGGACCAGCAGTATTATCCCCTGAGATGACAAGAATAAGCCCTCAGGAAAGCCCTCAAAAAACCATCCAGATCCATTAGTCTTTATTGGTGGATCATCTTAATCGGCCCTTTGCCAGAGGCTCAGCAAATCTTAGAATTCTGAAGTTTCTAGAATAGACTTGCCATGATGATCCACATTTTTCTGAAATTTGGTATTTGCTTCTAATACGTCCATCAGGATTACAATTTAGTACTTGCGAAGAAGGATTAGTAACATGTAATGGTGGGTTAGCATCAGTGTCCCTCACATTTTAATGTTGGCTTGTTTGCTGCGTGTCCTGGGGCCAATTGTGATGCTATTTCTTCCTCTCTGCTTCTATGCCCTGTACGACTGTGAACACTTCTGGTCTGATGTACTTCCTCTTCTGCTCTGCAGCCACATCTAGAAGATAACAGTAGCACCAGGAGAATCTGTGAAGTTTCTAGTGTATGTTGGAAGCCATCATGCCTGGCAGAAAATTATGCTTAAATCTTTCTCCTTAATATAGAAGACATTCAAGTGCAGGGCTTTTTGCTGAAGTGATGCAGTGAAAGCAGAATCACAAACAAGACTGGGAAATCTTGATCTGTTTCAGTAGTCCATCCTTTCTTTATCTGCCCCTCTCCCCGATATTTTGGATTTCATTTCCATTGGCCAGCAGCCAGTATGGTGATTAGCCAGGAATGCTGGGATTATAGGCCAGAATGCCTATAGAAGGCCTAGCTGGGAAGGCTGCAGTAGGCAATTCTGCCCATTTAAAAGGATGGCCTTTTGTGGGGAAGATTCATATTGACCTCTGCCTTGGATCTGTGAGCCATCAAACCCTGTAGTTTGTTTAATGCTGCTGGAACAGTGGAATGAATATTTACCTCTGTGGTTTGTTTTCATTTTCAGAGCAGTGGCAAAAGTTCAGTGCTGGAAAGTCTGGTAGGGAGGGACCTACTCCCAAGAGGCACTGGGATTGTCACCCGGAGACCCCTCATCCTGCAGCTGGTGCATGTTTCAGCAGAGGATCGTCGGAAAACAGCTGGAGATGAAAATGGTAAGGGCTGCTTGTAATGGGATTTGCTCCTTAAAAAGAAAAGGCCGATCACTTCTCATTCTCATGCAGTCAAGCTAAGCAAAGATACAGCCCTCATTGGAGACTCTGCCATGTCCTTTGGACATTTTCCTCTTTTTCTGTAACCCAGTGAAAAACCACAATTGCCATGGACTGCAACTTCCTGTACAGCAATCTTACACGAACAGGTTCCTCACTCTTCATGTGATATAACAGTGACCTTCGTAGTGTTTTTAGCTAGCTCATATCTAAAGGGGTGTGCGCATGCGTGCGGCCGTGTGTGTATGTGTTACTAGGGTCATGACTTCAGGGGGTGGGAGGGAGGCCCCATCACTTCCTGGTTGAATCGTGCTTTAGAGTTGGCAAAGCATTTCATGAATAATCTCTCAATCTACCTCAAACAGCTCTGTAAGGTATGGCAGTATTTTTACACTGTAAAAGGTGGGGATGTAATTAGAAGCTGAGAGATGAATGGTTTGCTTAACAGCTCAGTTCTGTGCAAATTTTAACAGAAAAAAGCCTACAACTCCCAGCTGACTGAGGCACACTGGCAGTTGTGGGCCTTATTTCTGTCTAATCTGGCTTAGGATTGCTCCTATGGCTGCCTAGTGCAGAAGCCGGCAAAGATGTGTCAGTGGATGAAAGAAAAATTGCCAAAGAGACAGAGTGGCCGGGAGTTACTGTGGTGAGTAAATGCAGGTAGACTACTGCATTATTTGTGGTAGAATGCAATCCCAAAGCAAGAATAGGAATCCCAGCCTTAAAACAGTAGGATTTCAGTCAATATGATCTGAGAACCGCTGTGCTCCTGTTGCTGTAGTGATTCTCCCATCCATGTTGAAAAAATATTATTCTGAGATGAGAAAATTATTTTTCCAGGAATTGGATGGACTTCATATGCTGGGTGATGGCCTATATCAGTGGTGGCGAACCTATGGCACCCGTGCAACAGTGGGCACACAGAGCCCTCTCTGTCGGCATGAGAGCCAAGTCAACCTAGCATCAAACCAGCACCTGAGCATCGGATACCAGCGCAAATAGGGGACACGCATATGCTCAGAAAGGAGTAGCAGCTCCAGGAAATGACATCACGGGCTGCAACTCATTAGCTGCGATTCGTCCGAGCTTTCACATAGGCAGTCAGTGCACTGCCACGGATATACATGTATGCTAGGACTGGCTGTGAGTTGTTTTTCTAAACTAAAACCTTAGTTTTAAGGTTTGATTGGAGTTTTGGCACTTTGTGACAAATAAATGGGTTTTGGGTTGCAGTTTGGGCACTCGGTCTCAAAAAGGTTCGCCATCACTAGGTTCAGGTTAGAAAAACAAGGTTTTCTACCATGATTTTGATGGATGGAAAATGTTTGGAATGGGCAGAAATGGTGGGCAGTGCCGAAAAAGCTACTCAAGAAAGGAATTTTCAAAATTGCATTATTTTCAATGGAAGGTTACCCCTATTTTAGAGTTAGGGGTGTGCCCCAGTGTAGGGTTAGGGTTTAGAAAACGAGGTGTCCTGGCTTAATTTTGATGGTTGGAATGTGGTTGGAATTGGCAGAATTGATGAGCAGTGCCGAAAAAGCTGCTCAAAGAAGGCTTTTTCAAAATTGCATTATTTTCAATGGAAGTTTACCCCTATATTAGGGTTAGGGGTGTGCCCCAGTGTAGGGTTAGGGTTTGGAAAATGAGGTGTCCTGACTTAATTTTGATGGTTGGAATGTATTTGGAACGGGCAGAAATGATGAGAAGTGCCGAAAAAGCTACTCAAGGAAGGCTTTTTCAATATTGCATTGTTTTTAAAGGAAGTTTACCCCTATATTAGGATTAGGAATGTGCACCAGTTTAGGGTTAGGATTAGGAAAATGAGGTGTCTTGGCATGATTTTGTTGGTTAGAATGTGTTTGGAATGGGCAGAAAGGATGAGCAGTGCTGAAAAAGCTGCTCAAAGGAGGCATTTTCCAAATTGCATTATTTTCAATGGAGGTTTGCCCGTATATTAGGGTTAGGGTTGTGCCCCAGGGTAGGGTTAGGGTTTGGAAAAGGAGGTGTCCTGGCATGATTCTGATGGTTGGAATGTGTTTGGAATGGCCAGATATGAAGAGCAGTGCCGAAAAAGCTACTCAAAGAAGGCATTTTCAAAATTGCATTATTTTCAAACCCTAACCCTGCCCTGGTTCACACCTCTAACCCTAATATAGGGGTACACTTCCATGGAAAATAATGCGATTTTGAAAAAACCTTCCTTGAGCAGCTTTTTCGGCACTTCTCATCATTTCTACCCATTCCAAACACATTCCAACCATCAAAATGATGCCAGGACACCTCGTTTTACAATCCTAACCGTACCCTG